TTTTTTTTTTGGAGGGGGGGGTGCCACACATATTTCAATTGTGATGTTACTAATTTAGTATTTTATAGTGATTCAAATAAAACCTATTTCCTTTTTTTCAAGGCACTCTGATAATGCAGTGGTTAAGAACTGCTAACCAAAAGCTTGGCTGTTGGAACCCCATAGAAGAAAGACCAGGCCATGCCCTTCTGCAGGGAGCGCAGCCTTGGGAATCCTATGGGGCAGTTGGAATCTTTCCTACCTGGTCACAGTGAGTTGGAAATACTTGAAGACAATGGGTTTGGTTTTTGATTATTTATTCATGCACAGTCTCTTCGGATAACCAAAGGTTCTACATAGATAAATATATTAATGCCTAATCAAGTAGACTCTTTCTATTTATCTTTATTTATTTCTCTTCTGTGGGCTATTTACAAATGACACTGCCATACCTACATACATGTATAGTAACATAAGTAATAAATAGTAACTGCAGATTGTATGTCTTGGCAGGAAAATACATAACAGTAGTCTGCACTGCAAACTTTGTTTAAAACACTGAATACAATATCAAGTCCTCTGTCAATGACAGCACAAGGTTCCAGTGCTCTACGATTTGTTTAATAATCCTTTATTTAGCTGACTCTACTCTTCTGCAGCTCACATGGTCAACAGATGCTGAACTGGAGCACAAGGGTCAATCCTTGTTTGTTTAACAGATTTCTCGCAAAATACCCCCCCTCCCCGCCCCCAGGTCCCCAGGAGCTGTAGTGATGTCATATCCGTTGTCCAGGTCTCCACACCTCTCCTGGCAATCACTCTCTTTCTCTCTGTTTCTTAGGTCAAAACTTTTGAGGTGGGTGGGGTAGAAAGCAGTGGGGGAGAGGGTACTCTGGGGAGTGCTAGCTAGAGGTGCTTCAGCACCTCGGTCAGCGCCCACTGCAGCCCAGCCCACCCTCCTGAGCTCCCCAGCTCCCTGCTTGGAGTATGCCTGCGGAATGATCGCCCCCCAGGGCGGCTGCCGCTGCCGCTGCTGCCGCTGCCGCTGCCGCTGCCACTGCTCCAGCTGCCGCCGTCACTGTTCCTGCTCCAGCTGCTGCCGTCGCCTCTGCCTCCCCGCGGGCGGCTCCGACTGGCAGGCAGAAAGTGCAAGTGACAGAGAAAGGGCTCCGCAGTGAGTGGAGTGGCTACGTAAAGGAGAGTAAAGAGGGGCAAAAGGCGAGATCAGAATGCAGGCGACGTCCAACCTTCTCAATCTCCTGCTGCTTTCCTTGCTGGCTGGATTAGATCCTTCCAAGGTATGGGTTTTGAAACTCTTGTTTGAAATAAATATGCAATATGTAGCAAACCGACTAAACATCTAAGGAAATATGCCCGAAAGGGCGTGGGAAATAGCTCTTCCAGCTGCCTTGCGGTGTCCGGCTCGTCCCCGCTGCTGGGAAGGTAAAAAGGTGAACTACCCAAGGACCAGCTCCTGGAGGTAGACAGTCCTGGTTCCAGGGGGGAGGGACCAGGAGGGATACAACGTGCCTGGGCAGCGGGCAATGCGGCTCTCCGGGGAATTTAGCTTATTTCGTGTCAAACCGCTTTCTGTGCTCTTCTGAAGTCGGACGGGTAAAGCGAAGGAGTTTGCAGTTGGAACAATGTAATTTGCAAGCATGTCGTAGGGGACTGTGAACTGTTCCTTTGTTGAAAGCAGGACAGCGTTTGCAGCGGATCCTGTTCAGTCAGACTCCCATCGTAGACGTGCTGCGGTGTGTGTCCGCATCGTTTGCGATGCTGTTTGTCACACACCCGGCGGAGCAGCAGAGCTACACTCTTGGCCAAGCCTCAGAGGCGGCTGGTGAAAGGGGCTCGTGTTTGTTGGCTTCTTTCTTTTCATTAAGGAAATTAGGGGCCTGAGGAAGTTCTGATTAACAGTATGAAGAAGCAGGAAGTGAGAGCCCCATCCAACTAAGCAGAGCAATAGGAACTCGGAAAATGATCCAGTACTGGCAATGAAAGTACAAGCAAGCTCCTCTGTTGAACAGATGAGAAAATAGGAAGAAATATTTTCAGCAATTGTAGTCTTGATGATAAAGTGAGGTCATGTAAGAGCTTCTGCATTCTAAGAAAAATCATAATTATCTAGAGTACGGGATAGAGCATCTGAGTAAAAAGAGTGTGAAATGTGGTTTATTTATCATTTTACTTACTTTAATCACTAAGACCAATTCTATACTACAGCAGAAATAACGCTGTGCTATATATATTTTAAACAAAATTAAAATCTGCTTTTGTAATGTTCTGAAGTTAATTTTTTTGCAGTTTCTCATAGCTCTATGTAGTGTCAAAGAAATTACGTTTCCTATCATTTTTCAATAGAACTAAGGCAGACATAATCTAAAATGTAGCTAGTTGACTCTTTGCAGGCTTAATCGAGTTGATAGGAGCAGCTTAGAATCCTGCCATAGGTGCTTGTCTTTCTGTACAGCTCTATTCAGGGAAAACTGATGAGAATAAAATCGTTTCTTTTAAAGCTATGGTTCTACTGATATTGTCGCTGTGGAAGCCTCATACAGTGCGTGAATGCCATCTTAATGATTTTAATGACATCTTTGACATATTAAAGGGTAGCTTTAAGAGATTTTATACCTAAGTAAAAATTGTTGATTTTGCCCAGAAAGACATATATTTCTTACTGCACCTATATTGCCTTATTCCCTGGACACTCTCATTAGGTTAAATTTTTAAAAACACATTTAACTCTACCTGGTTTAAAATATTGTTGGTAAAATATTTTTAAAAGCCAAGTCCACTACTGATTTATTAGACTAAAGGCGATTTGACTTCCGGGGGATTTTGTCATTCTTTAAAATGGACATACCAAAATGTAGATCTGACTTAAAGTCTTGCCAGTAGCATATGTCATGGATTTACCTTTTATCTTTAATGCATAAATATCTTCACTGCCTGTGCTGCATTCTTTTCAAAATTAAATGTGTATAGACTCAGCAAGTTTTTTGTTAAGTATGAAGATATATCTCCCAAGGAGATCAAGCATTTTTATTTAAAAATTTCCCTAGATTTGATTTATTTCTGTGTTTTGGATATTGTAAAACTTTTCCTCAGACAAAACTTTGACAAAAAGACTAGCTCAGCTGAGAAATTCTGTCAAGGAATAGCTTTAATAACTTTTCCAACTATCATTCTCAGTTTCTAAATATTCCAATATAGTGTGCAAATAACAGAAGAAGAAAATCTGTTCTATACCACATGTGCCATTGTAGAAAATAATAAAATGTTATTTCAAGCTATTTTAATATTACAAAAGTTTTTGGCTTTTAGATAAAATTTTAGGAGAAGGAAAAATGGTGACAAGAGGCTGTTTTTGTATGTTCTCTCAAACTAATGCTTATTACTAAAATATATTGAATCCACCAACTCACAAAAGGCACTATTGTTTTCTCAAGATAATTGTTAAACAGGTTAAAAAGTAGGAATTTTCTCAAATTTTATTTACAATTATACCAAATAGTTAAAATTTTGAATAATAAAATGAGCATTCATAATGCATATTTTGTCTTGTGAAACTGAAATTTAAAACTCAATTTGAAAAGTACCACAAAGGGCAACTACATGATTATGTTTAACTGTGCAGAAATGCTAAACATCCAATATTTTTACATAGTAGTCCTGTTGTTTTTAATATTACAGGATTAACACATTTTGTAATTTTCAACAGTCTGCAAACAAATCTACCTACTTTGTATTAATCTTCTATATATCATGAAACCTAATTTTTTAAAGCAAATTCATTGATACACACATGCTGGCAAAATGACAGCATTCTTAAAATTGAATATTTTTTTAAGTATAAAATTGTCATATATTTCAAATATTCAAAACGTAAATCTTAGGTGTGTTTTACTGTGTGTTAACAGCAAACAAGACACTTTTTCAACAACAGTGTCAATGCCAATTCATGAAATACCATGTAATGTTTATATGTTTATGATTTTTTCCCTGTGATTCAAGCTTGCAATTCTTTTATGGTGATTTATAAAATGCTTAATATCGCCATCTTATGGCATGATAAGTTATTTGGCAGCCAGTTTTATTTTTACATTCAAATAAATGCTCAAGTTTCTGTGTTCATAAGAGCACAGAACTTACTTTCAGCTTGTACTTACTTTCTTTTTTCTCATTTAATGAATTAGAAAATTGGCAAGATTAATAGTTTTCTTTCAGTAGAGGAAAGACATTCACCACTAATTAGTTATTTGTATTTTCTATAGTCAGAATATCAATTTCCCTCTCAAGAAAATTACTAGAATTACTTTTCTTAATTAAAGTCTAATTAACAAGCTCAAATTTCTCTTTAGGGGAAAAAAAAACAACAGCACGTCACGGGTCTTTCATTTTTGGCTATGTTAAGAGATGTCAATTAATTTCACTTATAATAGAGTCTGAATTATACACAATATGCCAAATTGTCATCTGTTAAGTAAATTAAAAAATAACAAAAATCTGAAAACTTCTAGAACAGCAGCTATTGCTCAGTTTCATGGAGAAGGGCTATGTCTGTGTAGAAATTCCTGAAGGTGGCTGCTAGGTGGCATCTCTGTGCTTTGAAACTGAAGGCATCGAATATAGCAATGACCTTGATAGTACAAAAAGTAGAGTTTTTTTCATTACCAATAAGATTTTGAGCAGCACATTACTTGAGCATTCTCACAAAACAGTTATCCCTGTGACTCGGAGCTACAGTTTTCTCTTCTCTCCAACGGTGGTCTGTAAAGAAAGGACTGCATAGATATGGCCGCTCAGATTTCAAATGAAACATTTACACTAGATTCAAACAGCTGGGGAAGAGTTACAAAGAAGTGGCATGGGCATATCCATCCAGGGCAATCACTACTGACCTTTCAAGGTGTCCTGGTAAGACAAAAGTCTTGACCAATGTCTCACCGAGGCAAATCATGTTGAAGCTGGGGGATCATTCACGGTCCTCTCACTGAGAAATACATTAGGGAACATGTAACATGTGTATCATACTTGCACTCACTACAGACATCCAAAGAACAGTGATTCAGCAACACTCTCCAACACCAAACCACTTTATTTATTGATTGATTGGTACAAAACAACCCAGTCGACTAAAACTCTTACCGTAAATAAAGCAGTTTTCTTAAAGCACTACAAACATTGTAAGAACTCTGAGAATTTCAATGACAGTATTGTGAAATGTTTTATAATGGAACATACCAGATATAAATACCCTCTTGTAGGGCAGTTTGAAAATTTTAAAAAGAGTTAAGAGGCTTGTGTGGAGGTAGAAATCTATAAAACTAATATAACTAAAGTTCTCACGATTTTCAAAAGAAATTACGGGGGTGGAGGAAAGGGAACAAAACAGTAGCATGAGTAAAGAGAGATTACTGCTGCCTTCCCTAAAGTTCATCTTAAAAACTGTCCTTTCCTTTGTACCTTGTGCTAAGCAGAAGTCCTCTACATAATGGTGTCCACTTCAGTTTGGTAAGGACTTATCACATGTGTGCATCAACTTTTACATGATAGAGAGTGAATGGTCCAAGGAATCCCATTCATATTTTGAAAGAACAAATCGATGCCTACTACCTTTGGTGCCTCATCCTATTTTACCCAAGTAAACTTTTGTTTGCAGAAAATAAAAATTCTCTTGGTACTAGGAAGCAATTAAAATGGGAGAGCTTTTTGTTTGTTTGTTATTATTTCGTATTCCTTTGTATTAGTCTAGGTACTTTAGAGAAACAAATCCACAGCAACTCATGTATAAGAGAGTTTTATGTAAAGAAAGTGTGATCACGAAAACATCCCAACCCAATGCTGCCCAAGCCCACAAGTCCAACATTAACCCAACACCAGTCCACAAAGTCCTCCACCTCACAAAACAGAGGCAATGATGCCGACTGCAGGAGGAAAGCCAAGTCAGTGAATGTGTAAGCATCTCAGTGCTGGCAGGGGTCTCCACACGGCTGCTCCAGCACCCAGGGCTGCATCGGGATAGATCCATGCAGCTTCTCCTTGGGGATGTCTTGTAGGAAATCCATCTTGCAAGCTGAAGCAGGGAACTGCTAAGGCAGCTGCACCCTGGTGTGACCATCACAAAGCAAGAGACCCTAGAACTAGAAAGGCGAGGCTCACCACCCATTTATCCCTCTGCCTTTCAATTAGCCCCACATTTGATTATCGGCCAGGTTGGCACAATTAACTAACTCATCCTTCTAACACTGAAACTTGTATTTTAGAAGTAAGTCTTATGATGATGGATTATCTC